CGAGAAGAGACGCTGTTGTAGATGCTGAGAATGCCTCACCGAACGCCTTGACCACTCTGGAAAGTGACAATGTAACATTGAACACGTTTATCCACGAATCACTTTCATACTCGACATGATTTCCTCGCGCCCTCTTGTTGGGTTGGATGCCCGTAAACATGGCACAAACCACTGCAAATTCGGTAATAAAGGCAGTATCCCTGCTGATGATACTCTGGACGCTGTGGTTGTTGCAAATGTATCGAATATCGCTGAAGATAGGCATATAACGCTTGCTTCGGAAAGGATAAGCCTCCACATCCATAGGGTGATTAAAGTCTGGGGGTGACGCAATTCGTTTATTGGCAATCTGATTGGTGAAAAAGCCCGCGATGACTGCTAGAAGACGTGACAGGACTCCGCTCTGGCGAACAAGGTGGGAGGCGACGCTGGGAACGGTGAAAAGGTCGAGAGCAAAAAACTTGATCGAAGTTTCTGCTTCTCGGTCTACGAGAAGATAAGAATCGATTATACGATGAAAGACATTGGCGTAATGCACAGCTAACGGAGCACTGTCAGATTCAAAACCGTTGGCATTGAACGGTTCAACTCACCCACATCGAGTCTATTCTTCTGACTCATCGTGAGTATAGTGATATATATCTGTTTCAAATTCAGCCGCGGTCGCTTCCACAGTCTTGGATGGTACACGAAGAGCCAATCGAGACGAGCGCCTGCATTAGCTTCGGGATAAAGCTTCGCAGCTTCAGAATAAAGGAACCCTGAATCTTCGCCCCTAGCCGAGAAGAGTTCTGTTGCAACAAGCTCTCGTAGCATAGTTTTATCCCCAGCGACATGACATTGCAACAAATCTAGGATCCATTCGATAATTACCGCGGCCATATGTTCACGGAAAGTGTCAAATGCACGACGCATTGTAACAGTCAGGTCGACTGTGCATATTTTATGGGCAGTATCAAGTAGTCTTTTCGCGTCGCCCGCCACCTCTATGACATCCCTCCCCTAGGTCAGATTTAGAAAATATTGATAAATTTCCGAGATAAATTGTATTTACCTCCTCGTCTGCTCTCAACACCACCGCCGTCGCTTGTTGCTGATTACAACCGGTCATATACCTTAGATGGGCCACTGCTTCGTCGTACGAGTGCTTCTCATCGTTCCACAAAATGATGGCCCAGTACTCCTTTTGCAAGGGATCAGCGGATAGCTGGCTGGCCAGGGCATCGTAAGACGCTGGTAGATGGGTTTCTTCGGGAGAGTAATCTAACACATCCAGTAAGAAGTCCAAGGCGCATCCAATTACCCTACTCATATTCTCTCGAAGAGATGGAGGGACAGTGGATGATTTTGTTTCATTCTCGGGTTCCAATGCCTCTTGATTTCCTCGATGATATAAGCAGTTGATAGGGTATCTCCACACTTCCGGATCACCGCAGTCGCAGCTCCCGCCTGGTTGTTGGGAAATACAGAACGTAACTACATGACCCCTGTGGTCTGTTGCATAGAAGCACCTGGCACACATAATACAGCTATCATCCATGGCACAGTCTCTAGATCAGAAGTGTTAGAGGTTCCCAGAAAGTTGAAACTCGATATTACTGACTTGCAACGGAAGCAGCATTCTCCCTTCTTGAATACGTGCTGGCAGGCTTTAGATTCTTCATCATCGTGTGGTGTGAGGGATGAACGGGCCTGGGCACTTGATAGTAAACTCCCGGCATTGAGGACATCATTCGGAGCAAGAAATAAAGAGTAGTTTGAACCCCAGAGGGCTGCATATAACTCGGTCAATATGCGAGCGCGTGCAGGTGGATTGAATAAGCCGTGCAAAGCATTAGGCATGGTGTCCAGAGCGAATCTAAGTCGTTCAACGGGATCCTGCATCCTTTCCTTGGAGTTTCCGAGGTGTTTGTTCAGTTTGGACAGCGTCATTTCTTCCGGCGTACCACTTCGATAGGAACTGTGGCAAAGCCGCCACACAATCGAGTCCAACCTTGAACCTCACCTGCACCGTACCCCACAATGGATTTCACAACTTACACGAGTAGACTAGAGCCCTTTCTTCTGATGTCCAAGAGTGCAAAAGGTGCAGCGGCAGCTAAATTGGTTCAAGATGCTACAGCTGCCCAAGGCGTCTATGTCTTTGCGCAATTGTTAGATGTACCAAATATCCGTGATGTGAGTTAGCTTCACTGCTTAACATAAAGCGATATTATTTCTTATTTTAAATCATCTTCAGCTTCAAAACTCGCAGGAATACAGTTCATCCTATGCACTTCTAGAATTATTCGCGCACGGCACATACCAGGATTACAAAGGTGGCGTAAATGAAATCATGTATTGTATATATATGCTCATGAAACGCGTGCCTACTCTGTAGCCAAGAGTGCATCTCTCCCCTTGCTCAACAGTATGCAACTCACCAAGCTCAAATATCTGTCGCTTGCGTCTATGGCAATGCAGAAACGAGTAATATTTATCTACAAAGTACTATTAACCCGTGACCTCAATATCCTTTAGATTCTTCCTTACAGCAATCTTCTTGTGGATCTCGAAATCAGTTCAATTCGAGAATTGGAAGACTTGATAATAGACGCGATTTATCAGAATATTGTTCAAGGAAAGCTCGATCAAAAGCAACAGCAGTTTGAGGTCGAATTCACGATGGGTCGCGATTTACGAATCAACCAACTGCCGGCTCTCCTCCATGAGCTCAAACAATGGTATGTGAGACTTCTCCGCCGCACCCATCCTGACACTTGTTGGCAGGTCAGGTAGGACCGCTGGAGTGATAGACGCTCTGGATAAAAAGATAGAAGTGGTTAATCAGGAGGAGAAAGCAGCCAAGATCGCCGCTGAACAACACGAATTACAGAGAGAGGCGATGATAGCAGATATACAAGCGAAGTCGAAGAAGGGACGTCCTGACAAGGAGAACGCAGAAGATAACATGGAGATAGACGATATGGCCAATAGTGGAGGTGGGGTCTTGAGCAATCTACTGCAGGGCAATAAAAGGAACAAGTGAGATAACATCCTTCTCCTTTGGGTCGCTATCACTAATTTCACAATTTCATAGACCTCTCTCTAGCGGTATGGGCGGAATGTTTCGGAAGCGTAATAGGGCATAAACATTGTAGAGTAATATCGAATCGGACGAGAGGATATCTTCTGTGCCATACACCCTTCACATCTTTGGGAGTTTTATCTGAAAGATGCCTGACAAATAGGTTCAGAAGTGCCAAAAATGCGTACATTATGGAGTCACTTACACTGAGGCAACGTTGTCACTTCTGGGACCACTGTACCCTGTAAGCCCAGTCGACTTAGTGCTCCTTTTAATATTCCAGCGTGAAAAGCAAGATGCTTTGACCATGTAAGTAACTATCGACGCGTTATCGGATCGGTTTCACATACAATTTTTGCATTTGCGAGAGCATCTGCCACGCCATCCCCCGAGGATATTCTGAGAAGTGGTCTGAATGCATTGTCTTGCAACACGTAGACACCCTTGAAATGGTCTGGGTAACCTCAGAATAATAGCTGATAGGTACACATACCCTGTGATTTGTCCTTAGATTGTCGACCTGCTTGTCCCATACAGCGGTCCAGACATCCTTACAGAGGAATTTAATGGTTTCTAGGGTGTCTATAAATCTTGGTCTATCTCTGACTAGACTGGGAGGAAATCGTATGTCAGATAGATGGGTTTCCTGGTACAGGTGTGCCCTACTCACCGTTCCACAAGAGCAGATCCCACATGAACTCCAATGTTCTCCAAGCGACATTTCAGCGCTTCCTCGGATGTATTGTGCTGGGTATCTCTGACGGGAATTTGATGCAGTATATTAGATTTGGACATCTCTTCTTCGAGCTCCCTCCGTCGGGAGACCGCTCGTTCAGCCGACTGTCTCAGAGTGTCGATAGTTTCGATCAGAAAATAGTCGAGTACCGAAACGTCTATTTGTGCAGCTGTAGAGGTTGCGAGTGCCACCAGCTGGGACATGGTCGTATTGCAAATGGATCGGGACAAATGTTGGCTGGCCACGGGATGACCTCCAAGACGTTACCTCTGTGCCATCATGACTTCTTTGCCTCCAATTCCACGAAGATTGCAAGATTTAGTCGAGACATGTTTTGAAGAGTTTCTTTGTATGTTTTCTAGTTCGGTTCTCCAGTAGTGAACCAATACTCTCGGTAGATGAGGCGGGTATCGAAGTACTCGATGAGATTAGAGGCAGTGATGCTATCCCAAATCAGTGAGTAGACCTCATCAGGAGAGGGAATTGATCTTGAGCATCACTTAGAGAGCTTGTTCACCAGTTGCTATATCTAGCACTCTATCCGCCAGGCCCAAGTAAAAAGGAAGTCAAGAAGGTTACAAAAAAGCGTAGAAATTCATCTAAACAACAAGTGCCGGATATCACGGCCCCAGAACGGAGCGTGGTATTACTGGCTCTCGACACCCTCTATCACTTTATTCGGACAAACGAAGCCCACCACATATTAGCAACCCTCCCGTCCTACGAACATCGTCCGAATGATCGTAGTGACACCCTTCAAGATAACCCATTATCATTTCACGCCACCTGTATAGCAAGAGCCAAACATTGTTGGCAAACTCTGATGCCTGAGTTTATCTTGCCCAGCGAGCACGATTCTGATCCATCTCAACTAGTCGCTGATCACGCCTGGGGTGTTCTGGAATGGCTTTTGGAAGCCTTTTCAAAGGATTCTATTGACGCAGGTGGCAAGTCAGTCCTCTTAGCAAGCCAGCTACCTCCTGTAAATGATGGGCCAAAGGTGATGGTTGATATACCGCTGGATATAATTGCATCGTGCTTTCATGAGCCGTTAGAGATGCAAAAAGTCGAATGTGCGGCCAAACTCTTGGAGCTGGTGCGTTCCATCTATCTTGTCGTTTTTGCTGTCACTGAGCTCGACTTGCATTTCAAGCTCGTCCAATTGACTAAATCGAATCCCCCTTTGCTCGTACCTGATCGACTGGTCACAGAAGTTTGTCGTCGGTTGAGTAGAATGAAACCTATGGGGTTCTCGAGCTTGTTGATGGGAATAACAGATACCGAGTTTAGGTTTGCTTTGACCTGGATGTTTATATCTAAACACTCTATAGGGGATAAAGGCGTAAAGTCTTCACTACCCCTTCAAGCACTTCCAAATACTCGTCCAGTGAAGCTGCCACCTGTTTATACTCGGCCGCCCATAGAAGAAGCCTTAAAGCTCCTTCAGCTGGATGCGAATGTCCAAGATCAACCCCAAGAAACAGAGGAAAGTGAAGACGATTATCTTCTTACAAGGTTGGAACAGTTGACACAACACGCAACAGCCAAATTGTGCATTCTTGGCGCATTAGAGGGTTGTGTCGCAGTAGGAGAAGGACAAACATGGCAAAGTCTGGTTCAGAGTGGAGTGATTCGACGAATTGTCGAAGCCGGTTTCAAGTATGGAGATGCATCGGAGAAAGAAGTGGCGGCCATTCGGCTCAATGCACGGGCCTATGTGGACTGTTGGGAAAGGGTGTTTGTAAGCACGTAAAGGTTGACCATAAACCACGACTTTTGAAGGGGATTAAACGTACAACATTCTCCTGTATTTCTTCCGCGACGATTGAACTATTTTACGCCAATATTCATGCTACCCAAACGAGTTTCAGTCCAGAATCGGATCGGAATCGCCATCACATGGAGAAGACAAGGAAGATAAGGGGACCAAATCACCTTTTCAAGATATCCACGCCATTCCCAGAAGGACATTGTTGAGCCTGTACTCGCCTGTCACGGCTACGGGAGCTGACTGCGACACTGTGTGGGCTCGAACGGTGCAACATCTCTGAAATGTCAAGAAGGGTCAACCATGGAGAAAACAGAATAGATCGTTTCTAAAATCCCTGTTCTTTCTCTGTATTCAATTATCAAATGCGTGCGTGCCAGATAGATCCCATGCGCTCCGCTGCTCAGGCGACATATCCTCACACATGCACCCTAATTCCCCAAAGTAAAATCAGGGGGGATGGCTAACATTATTTTTGTTTCTTTTTCTTTTCCGGATCAGATCAAGTGATTCTGTTCATCGACCCAGCCGGAGCTGGCCCCCCAATTCCAGACCTGTGATTGGGCGCAAGTGGCTGAAGCGTGTTTCGCACACTGGAGGGCTCAAGGCAAGATTGCAACAGCACTTTGTGGGTGAAGAAACAAGAGCTCAAACACATTGTTTTTGCCTTTTTTTCGCCCCCAATCGCCCCCAATCTGTCTCGGTCTGCTGACGTTCTGGCAAGACTTGACAATTTTGTCAAGGGTCGCAGGTGACCAGACGTAAGACCCAGCCTCAAGCACAAGGCTTCTCAGTTCCCAGTTTAGCACTTGGCACCTCTCGTACGATGGATCAGCCCTCGTTTGTATTTCAACGCCGACTATTCCGTTTCAGTTAAGAGCTAACTCTTTTCTCGTCTTTTCTCCTCCCCCACTACCTCCTCCGCATCCCTGTAGCATACGAAAACAGCCAATGCCTCTGGTTCAACCTCAACCTCCTAGCCCCACCCATCGGGTCCACTTCGAAACGACATGTGTCGTTATACCAGAGGTCCCCGAACCTTCAATGATCCATCTCGAAAAACGGTCCTACGTCCTTCCTACATGGCGTCGCCAGCGATCAGATGAGACCAAGGAAGAGACCCACCCCCCGGTCATCACCGTCCGTGTCCCAAGGTTTGCCTGCCCTTGTTTCATCGGCCCCAACTGGCGCTCACTAGTCATTTTTCTGTTCATTTTTGAATCTAGCATAAGCCGCAAACATCGTCACCAGCACAGTAAAGAGCGGACCCCCCCGCTCCAACCGTGCCTTCGACATTCCCATTCGGTGTCTTGTTCTAATGTGGATGGGGAAGCTGCCACCGCCGCGGCTATTGCATCAGGCACATCACTACCACCTCCTTCCCCTAGTGCTTATACAACCTTACACAAAACTTCCTCCATCAATCGAAGACCACGGGCTTCGGAGGGCGACCGTATCCCCCTGCGGGAATGCTGCACTACTTGTCTCAAGTCGGTCGACCAAGCCTTTGAAAGCGACTATCACGAGCACTGGTCATCGGGCGCACGACGTCGTCGACGAATGTCAGAGTCTGAATTGTCCAAAGTATCTGCCTTTGGCTGCTCTGCCTCATTCCTCACCAAACCTGTCAACGTTGACGAAGTCGATGCACGTCGATCAAAGAAACGCCCAAATGTGCCTTTGAGCCTTCCCCCCACACTCCTCCCCTGTGCGGATGATGACGACGAATCATTGCTGTTCCCTCTTCCCAGCCCCCGTCGAACGCCACTCTGTGGAACACCTGCGCTCGGGACACCTTCAGCGACTCCTCCAAAAGCATCTCCTCTCACTCCATCTCC